GGGAATGAATGGTGTTTGTTTAGAGCCTAAAAAGGTAAAAACTACAACTTCAAATAGAAGCCATAGATTAGATTGAAAGAGGTGAACGGGGTATCTCTCTCTCTCTCTCTCTCTGCAGTATAGATGTTTTACAATTAGAAGAATGCTACTATGATAGCGAACCGGACCTACTACTTTAAACCGATGGCCAACGTTTGAGCTGGATTTCCTTTCCTTTCCTTTTTTTTTTTTTAATCAGACTGTTTTGCCGCCAGTCAAATAAATATTTTTTTAATAAAAAAATAAATATAATAATATTTTATACATATTTTTTATGTAATAAATTTTAATTAAAAATTAAATTATAAAACTTTATTTTTAATCTATCAAAACTTACTAGACAAACCTATGATTAAAATCACATACTCATTTGATTCAATAATTCTTTTATAATTTTTTATTTAAATATATAATAATAAAAAAAATACTTGTAAAAATGAGAACAAATTAAATACTAAGATGTATGTTTAAGATCATGATAAATCCATAAATAATAAACTAAAATAAAGTGCGATGTTTTTTAAATAAATTTAATATTAAATAATAAAATTAAAAATTAAAATATTAAATTAAAATAAAAAAAATGTTTGAATTAACCCCAAGCGAACACAGCACATCTATGATCAAGGTCATATACCCTATTGAATTAACAAGTTTTTATTTTTGAAATTATTTTTTATTTAACTATACTTGTACATGAACAAGTGTATAGATGTTTTTTCATACAAAATAAAAAAGAATGGAAAAACAAGGTGGCCCACATGACTAAAATAAAAAACCAACTTAATTTTTCTCAAGTTTGATTACAAAAAAAACTTTTTTCAAGTTAAATAAAAAAAGCTTTTTAAAGACTAAATATAGGATGGAATAATATTTTTTTATATAAGTTCAAGGGGTTGAAAACACCATCATTATAAACTTGAGCTAACTCAGGGAACTAACATGCAATCTAGTTGATTTCAGACTTAAGGTTAGGTCGGGTTAAAAAAATAAAAGGAGGAATTGACTTAGCAAGATCCACTCAAAATCTCGTGTTGACTCGCAACTTGGTCAATTTTAGTAAAACCCGATTAAAATTTAATGCAAAATCCGAAGACTTTTTCAAAAAATAACTAAAAAAATTATTTTAATTTTTTTTTATATAAACTTGGGTTAACCCTTTTATCTTGTTCCTTGATCTTTATCCCAAGCTAATAACTATAGAAAAAATATTAAAAAAAAAAAGAGAAAGAAAGAAACAGGTAAGGCAAATGGGTCAATCCATGTTTCTGACCTAAAAGTCAGGCCCATGTGTTAAGTTTCTTTTTTTCCAATTATTAAAGTGTTATATACCCTCATTTTTTGTCTTTTATGAAACACATAGATGACACTACAAACAATGTATAACACCCTGTATTATTATATGTATTTACAGTCAAGTCCATTTATCATATATGTAAAACCCAGTATTTTCTCATGCATTTACATTCAATTAAAACAATTATGCATGGAAGAATTCAGGTGTGCGTGTGCATGCATGCAATATTAAACGATTATGCATGGAAGAATTCAGGTGTGCGAATTCAAGTGTGCGTGTGCATGCATGCAATATTAAACCCCTGAATAAACTTTCATCCATCTCTTATATATATTATCATGAATTCTCCTTACTTAACAAAATTTATACTTCTAAAGAATTTACAATCAACTAGTACATTACCAGTTATAACAGTTGACAATCTTCCAAAAATTGGTTGATTGATTTGCGCAACCAAATTAGATAATAATTAATTTTATTATTCATTTTTATCAACAAGTGAACATTAACAATGACATATCAATCAAAACACCATCTTTAAACTTTTCCATAAACAACACATATCAATAATTAACTTTATTTATTCCTTCTTATTTCTTGTTCCACATTTCTCGTAACAATTCTCATTATAAGACAATCCATATAATGATAACATAACAAACACCATAATAAATTGAACAATGCACAAAATCTTAATTAAATGTATAAAATAAAACATAATCATTTTTATTAATTTACATCCCTTATTAATTTATAATATTTTAAAATTTTAAATGAATAGAAAGGGAATAATTGTTCTTAATTTGAATACTTATTGCATATTTAAATAAATAATTTAACAAGTCATAAGGTTAAATCTTAGGCTAGATGAAAACTAGATAATCATTAATCTTGTTGTGTTGAAATGAATATGCAAGATAAAAACATGTATCGGTAAATATTAAAGAAAACAAATACATTCAATTCATTAGCAACTATTAACATTCCATTAATAATAGATTTTTTTAAATGAGAAAAGTAACAAACCATTATCTTAGAATTTCACTAAAATATCTCATCTCTAATCGATCAACATCATAAATTCTTAGCTACCTATCTCTATTTATCCAATTTTATAAGTTTTATTTCCAATCACAAGAAATAAAAATCATATTATGATCATTATTCCCTTTATATAAAACCAACTTAATATATGTAATCTATAATTCTTACACTGGAGATATTCAACTTGTATATCCACTAGATAAACCATCATAAACATCTTTATTCATATGAAAAGTTATATTTTTATAATTAATAATGGTGCTCACCTCTTTGGTTGATTCCATCAAATTATATTCTTCACATGTCTTCTAATTTGTTTTCATCTTGCTCATTCGTGGATACTTAATATCCTTCAAATCAATTATGTATTTCTTTAGCTTGTTTAGGTAAATCTTTCATTTTTATCTAGCTTTCACCTATGTGGTTCCTTTTAACTTTATATGTGTGTGTGTTCTTAATTCATAATTACTTTATTTGGCTCATTTTTTATACTACTGATTATCTTCTCCTTTTCAAATATTTTCTTATTCAGATTTGCTACTTCGACCAAGAAATCAAATTTCAAATTTACATTATCATTGTATACAATTAATTTTAATCCTCTTCTAAAATTTTACCACATCAACACTTTTTTTTTCCTAGTCATTAGTCATGTTGATACTTCTTACCTCTTTTTGATCAACTAGTCAAACAATTCATTCCGATAATTAGATACATCGATGTCTTTAGCCTCTTTTTTAGATAAGCTGGTCAATTAATTCATCTCGTCATCAGATACATTGATGCTTCTAGCCTCTCTTTGATTAGTTGGTCAATTAATTCATCCTAGTCATTAGATACATTGATGCTTTTAGTCCTTTTTAGGTCACCAAGCCAATCAATTCATCATCATCATCAGATATATTGATGCCTTTAGCTCATTCTCGATCAGCTAGTCAATTAATTCTTAACACCCAATTCATATGACAACTAATCCTACGACAACATCCATAATCACCATCCACATGTCAAACTGTGATATTCATAATTCCCTTAACATAGTTTCCACTCTTCAGCTAGTTTTTCTCATACGATAATCATTTATATGATATGTTTGCTTATTATTCATAATTAATTACGGTCGTTATTGTTGATTATGAATAATTATTAAGTTTTATCATTGTGGCTAATCACACAACTTCCATGGAATTTCCATTGTTATGGTCAAAAGTAAATTATAAATTCTTCTTACTGTTATAGTCAATTACACATCATCCATACTAAATGTTTTTCACCTATATATTTCAATTACAAACACATGCCGATTTCTTTCTCAAATACATAAGCCTTCAATTAATAATATCAAAACACAATATAATTTAATAACCATTATAATTTAACAATTTCAAAAACACATTTAAATATATACATAGGCAAGGAAGGGTCAATCTCCTAAATTGACTCGTATTATCCATGTTTCTGGGAAGTCGAGTCTCATCTTGCACGCCTCTCTTACAACTCCATATAATAATCACTATCACTTAACCATTCCAATATGAATTTCATCCATACCATATTTCTATACAACACATTCAAACATAAGTTCGCAACCTAATTATTTTATGTATTTACACATAGTATATTCATAATTCATTGAGTTCTCAACACTAATATACATCGAAGTTTCTTTTTAATATTTCATAATTTTCATCTTTCTTCTCAAGCAAAGAACATGAAATTTATTTATTAAACCAAAACTTAGTTTACCAACTTAATCAATACTATTCACATTTATCATATACATATTTGCTCAATAACACAACTTAGTAATTTCTATAATACTTGTATTTTTTAATCAAATCACATTGTTTTAAAATTACATAAAACCAAACACAATAATTTTATTCATTTCAATCATAATTGACACACCAATACATATCAAAGACATACAACAAACAAATATTCAATGTGATTTTGACAATTTCTTCATTTCTTCTCATTATGGTCATCTATATATTTAGCAAGAAACATCCAATTTCTTCTTCATTTGTTTATTATCTTGAGTTATTTCTATCATATTCCATCTCAATTACCTCATTCTATCACAATTTCATAATATCCCTAATTACATATATGTACACAAATTAATACATCATAAAAGGTTCTTTTTCCACTTTCCTTTATTTTAGCCAAAACTTAAGTCTTGCTTTATTTGGCATCCTTTCAAAAAAAAAATTTAACAAGTTTATAAAATTTCAAGTCTTCATAATATTTCTCAACTATTTGTTACATTTACTTATATCTCATATACCCAAATGTCTTCCCATTTCTCAATTGAAAATTATATTCAACTATACTTAAGTCATAATTTACTTTGTAAAAGCATTTTCATCCGTAAACATACAATGCATCTTATTTTTTTAAAAAAGTTTTCTTTTATTATTTTCTTCATGATCGAAGATTAAGGTTCCTAATTCCTTTAATACATGTTCTTGAAATCATCTTGCATGCTAATAACACAACAATCTATACTCATTTGTATTTATTACATCCAAAACATCATTTATTATATTCACCATTAACAAGATGACTTTAAATTCATTCAATAATATTTGTTTTGCCCCATAACATGCATTTAATAGATTATACAAGATTTATTTCTCTTATTCCCTTGGTCAAAACTTAGGTTCAATTATTTAATTTCAAGCCTGTACCACATTCCACAATAATTACATTAAAAATACATCCATTTAATTAGAATTAAACTAAAATGTTATATATAAAAAAGGTCTCTCTCTCTCTCTCTCTATATATATCAAGGCCCTCTTTATAATATCAAACCCTTAGAAAATAAAAATCTAACAATTAATTGACAAAATTTTAACTTTTCTTTTTAATGACATATCTTGAATTTGCTTCTATTCTTACATACGCAAGATCTTTTTTTTTTTAATTTTTTTTGCTTGACTACATTTATATATTTTCATTAAAATTCTCAATTTGACCATCCTCTTTTTCATTGTATTTGGATTTATATTTTAATAAAAATAATCTTCATTTATTTTTTCTTATGCAATCAAATTTCTCCTTATATTATTTAACACCCATTCATTTTAGTCCCTCTTTTTTTTTACCTCTTGTTCCACCCTAATTTTTTTTTATTTTGTTACACATAGCAAAAGTACTGAAAATTATGAAAAATGGTTGAATTTCACTGAGAAAATATTCTTGAAAATCTATATTGACACAATCAAAAAATTGATGTCTTCTCTCAAGTGTAGGAGTGT